AAATGAAAGAACAACAAGCTCAAGGAAAACGCAGTCACGAAAGAAAGGAAGAAGAAGCCACACGAAATCGCTTTATGGGGAAGTTTTGCGAGGAGAATGCAAGAAGGGGAAAAACACGAAACTTTGATCAGAGTTGACGCGCTCGAACTTCTTCAACATTCCAAAGGCTCCGTCCCTTGCGAAGTTTGAAAGAACTTAGAAACTTTGCGAAGAGAGCTTTGAAGTGCTGAATTTGATCAAAATTCAGATGGACCTTCAGGTTCCCTTCTTCAAGCCCCCTTCAAGCCTCCCTTCAAGCTTCCCTTCAAGCCTCCCTTCAAGTCTCTCAAAAGGGAGTCACCCTTAAGTCCCCCATTGAAGCCCCCCTGAAACGTCTTCGAAGACCCTTGAAGGGAGAGATTTAGGGAGACTTGAAGAGAGGGCTCAAGTCCCCTTCGTCGAAAGGCGTGGGGGCCCACACAGAAGTGTTCGCCCCGGTTGCTTTCGCGGCATTCGCTTAATCTCGAGCACTGGGGTGCGGCGGAGTCTGGGCGGAGGGTCTGGCTCGGCGCAAAAAAGAGGCTGATCCTGCACAGGCTGGCAGTTCCGCCCGAATCTGATCTTGCGGGCTGGAAGAGTGCGATGTCCACCAGACCATCCGCGAATGCGGCAGACTTGCGAGTGCCTCTTTTGCATGCATGCGTCCTAAAGACATGAACACGCTCGAAAACGCTCCACGTAACCTTTTTCCTTTTATTATCGGTGTTTTCTAGCTTGTTGCTTGCACGCATGGTCAACACACAGGTTCATGTTGCTCTTTCGGCTGCAGCATGCGCAGAATTTTCACACACCGCACCCACCCGCCCGTGTGATGCATTCCGGCTAGCTCCGCCTGAGCAACGCTTTTCCATGAAGCACGTCTTGCTAACATTCGCCCAGTTTTTTTTCTCATAGTCTCACAAAGACGGAGAACCCGCCTGCGACCGGACTTTTAATTCTGAGCAGCACTCGTGGACAAAAAGAGTGTCAGTCTCTTTTGCATGCCGCGTTTGCAGTTGATTAGTGTGCGTGACGGCCCAGCGGTGCTTGCTGGTTGGCCAAAGTTGCCAGAGGTTCTGGACTCGTGAGGCATCGTGAGCAATACCTGGACCATTCGGCTTTTGCGACCACTTTCGAACCAGTACGTTGCGGTTGCTTGACTTCTTTCATCGTCAATTGCAGCTCCTGGCACTTTTTCTGCCATGTTGCAGGGCAACAAGTTGCCTCCCGACGCCAATGCCTCGGAGACCGTGCCCGCGTTTCGGCCCGCTGCTTGGACTGTGAGCCGGTCGGGTGCGGCCGGGGCCGGAGCCGGGAGCGGGAGGCTGGATCTGAAGTCAGGAAGTGGATTCGTGGATGAGATGATCACGTCCGAGCAAGATCATGATCAAGTGATTCTCTGTCCAAGCAAGACCAAGATTAAGAATGATGATCAATGATGATTCAGCGGCGGTGAGTGAAGTCATTTCACAATATGCTAGTGTGTATCGATGCTAGTTTGAAAAACAGAAGTGGCAAAGAGATACCGAAAAGAACGAATGGGTGTTCCGAATTCCGAATTCCTTATCATCATGAAACACGACGATGGATGAATGGATCGACCGGTGATCGGGGAATCGGACAAAACGAATCGATGAAAAATAGTATCCTGATAACTCTTGGACATTGCTTTCATATTTGTAGAACAGCGACAATGGGCCTTAAACACCATGCCGCACCCCCATTTTTTCGACTTTCGATTTGCCGGGCTGGGGTGCCCCGTGCCGGACCTCGGCGGCCTTCTTGTTCGTGCCCATGGCTGGGCATGAACGACTCTTGCCGGCTCAGCCTGTGGTCGCAGCTCGTTTCACCAAGAAGGAGTTGTTTCCGTGAGAAGCGAGTGCGGCAACCGCCATCGACGCGACCTGCTCACACCAAAACAAAAGACGTGTGCGACAAACAACAACCCAAATTGTGCTTTCTCGAAGCCATTACCAAGTGTGAAATTATGCATGTCCACCGCTCCTGCGTGAAAGCTAAAACAAAGGAGAGACCACTGTGGCGGGAATCCAGCCTGCCGTGCGATAACTACGAAGGCTGTTGTGCTCTCTAGGAAAGTTTCAGTCTTACCATTCGGCTTTGCTTCCTTGCACAGTGTTTGCTCTGTTTGGATGTTTGCTTGCAGACCGAGCGATTGCGTTGCATTATCAGGTTGTGGTCCACTAAGAAACCATTCGCCAAAAACCATTTCCCAATTGCTTTCAGATGCCAATCGGGCGCTGCTCACGACTATAGGGCACACCGACTATCCAAGCAGCCCGTGAAAAGGAAGCGTCCGCTTACTGGTTTTGTGTCATCGTGGTGTTTTCAGGAATGTTTCTTGCACGCATGCTCAACTTAGCCGTTCATGTAGCTTTCTCGGCTGGCAGATTCTGCTGGCATGATTGGATACCCGAGTCTTACCGCATGATTGACGTGAAGTTGCCAGGTTTGTGCATGATCTCGCAATCAACTTTTCAATGTTGTTCAGCGATTTGTGTGCACAAAGCGTACAGTTGGAAATGATTTGGTTCAAGGTTCGGTAGTTTTGGACTTGTATGAAAACGATTTTTCAGGTTCTAGCAGCAATCGTGGCCGTGTGTGCATGGTGATTTCTTGGAATGTCATGTTTTGCTCGAGCCGATTTGGAAAGATGGAATGGGCATGGATGCCATGCCTCGAAAGTGGATCGGGCTGATGGTAAAAGATACACAGTTCGTCGTACAAGTTTTTATTGTTAAGTTTGACTGATTATAGCGTTTACTTACCACACAAAGGCCAATAGCTCGATTTCTTCAGGTTCCAGTAGCACAACACAGCGAGCTTTGATGACGGGCAGGACATAGACCGAGAAGCGATCCACTTTTGAGGACAATAACCGCTCAAGAGAATCCCTTGCATCGCTTCCAAAAGCAAGGACAGCGACGGCGAGTCTCACCACCAGTGTGTTTCGCCTGGTTTGGTTCCTCTACCCTGGATTCTACATATGCTTCCCTGACCAGACTAACTACATGGCATCGGTTGCGTAAGTGTGATCCAACAGTGGACATCACGAGCTTATGCAGTGTCGCATCCAAGATTGGCGGAATTTCCATGTCAGAATCTCGCCACATGAGCGGAAACAACCTTACCAGATGTCACGAAACGCAAAGAACTCCGCAGGATGACCGCGACAGGTCTCGGCCTGGCCGCGATGCTCTTGGCACACAGGCTGGGGGGGTGCCTCGGGTCGTGTACGTTGACAACCTTCTGCAGAGCGCTAGGAGGCATGCTGGCAGCATAAGCGTGTGAAGTCGTGAACCTTTTGTGCTGTGCAAGGGGCCCGTTCTCATACGCCAAGATGTCGTCCAAGGCGGAGCAGCAGTTTGCTTGATATGTGCATGATTATGAAAACTGTTGCAGCCGCAACGCAAGATTTTGCCGCTTTTTGTTTGAACAGGTTCTTCTTGACTGGATACGTTCTATGTTGCGACCCATATGCCAACGCATGCCAGGTAACATCAGCAAGAGAGAGCACTTGCACGCGATAGTGGTTGGTGACATTTTCCTTAGTGGTGAGACTGGCAAAAGATGATCTGCGTCGGAAGGAACATGGCAAGTAATCCTATCATGAATCCAGTGAGCCACTGAGCCTTCGAATAACCTATCCGACACTTTTGCTCTTGATGTTAAACGTTTGCTGTGCGAATGCACGGAAATCTGCTTGCCACATGTCTCCGGTCGTCTGTCAGGGAAACGATCGCCAGTTGTCTACCTCCACAGAGACAACGGCTGCACCAATGAGCAGGCTCGTGACTGGGGCGCACGGGGAGTTCCTTTTGCGCCTGCACGTGTCTTTGAGACTATGGTTGGTGGGGTGTGACAGGAGCTGCTGCGGAGGGCACAGATGAAAGCATCTATGCTTCCAGCATGTGTTCACGACTCTCCACACTTCGCAGGAACGTGACCGAGGATGGCTCGCCATTTGTTGTGGAGGAGCTTAACTAAACACCCCCTGCCGCGTTGCTTCGCGTGAGGTCATACTGGTTCATATTTAACAAGGAGGTCGGGGGAGAACGCGGGTAAGGAAAGGTTTGCTGGTGGTGTGGCAAAGCAGGACTTGATCTCCGAAGAGAGTGTCACGCCGACCCTGAGCGAGGCTGGGAAGTGAGCAACTGTTCCTAGGGATCACACAGCTATGATATACGTTGTGCTCATTCCGGAGCACGAGGTTATCTCAAGCGGTTTGCGCCGTTAAGGAGGCATCGAAGGTACAAAGGATTCGTTCCAGGCAGAAGCATCCCGCACAATGATCAAGTATGTATAAATGATGCCATCAAGAGAGCCTGGATGATTCTATATCAGCATTGAATCTCACGGGTGGCAAGCACACACTCAGGAGGCAGAATTCTTTGCCTTCGGGACTGGGGATGGCTTCAGCAATAAACACATCTTTGTTTCATGTTCCTGAATTCAGGTGACCAGGAGGCAACAGATTGGAGCCCCCTGATTGCCTCCCTCGGTTTCAGACCCAGGCAGAGATCCTGCTGTAAGGATGATGCTGTTTAGAGCGCTTGACATTACAGGAGCCAACAATTCTGTGGCTTCAGGGTGTGAGGAAGTCCTGAAATCTGTGAGGATTGATTTCAGGAGGAAGTTTGGACCTCAGCAGACAGCGCTCTATGACTTTCAGGAAGTCTTTACGCTCTCTACGTCTTTTGTCTAAAAAAAGGGGGCCCTGGTTCCAGCGCATTTCGGCAAGATGAGTGCTGCATCCTGGCTCAGTTTTAAAGTGCATCAGTGAGGAGGCGCTGGATCTGCAGAGGACGGGTGCGGGCTCGAGCTGGCGAAAACTGTGAGATCGACTGGGCGTTTGTCGCACGGGCATGTCGCTGTGTAGCTCTGCAAAGCACCGAAGCGTGGTAAGTTGATCATGTCTCAGGAGCGGAGACGGTGCATATACCTGCAGGGCTAAAAGAATTTAAATTAGCACTGGCAGAGCGGAGTCAAATGCTTTCGCCAAGATTGCTTCTAGGGCCCGGGGGCAAGGCTTTCTTTTCGGACGCAGCTTCAGGCCGCTGTCGGTCCAGTTGCGAAGGACTCCCTACGAGGATGCTCTGGCGACGCTTCCTGCATGGGATTCTGCACGGTGCCGAACCGACTGAGGAACTTCCGGTTTAAGGGCTCTCGATTCACAGGGCGTCACGAGGCTGGGGAAGCTTCTGGAAGTTTTTGTTTGTGGGACACTGCAGACGGTAACCGGTGGAAGCGGAAGTATTCTTTCGCCTCGTGCTCGCTTTGCAGAGCCTGCAGGCTTCGGCGTAGACTGCGCAAGACCTAAGTATACGCAGAGTATGGTTTTTGGTCTCTTGTAAGGGTTGCAGTGTCTCTCGTCAGTGTCCAGGTATGAAATGCTTCACGTGCTTCGAGCGGCCTCCAGGAGCTGGTTAAGCCGCTTCGGCGCAAACAAAACCAATACCTGCGAGCGCCCTGCGAGCATCCAGATTTCGAGGCCAGATTGAGATCCACTTCGACAGCCTTGAGAAGAGGACTGTGTCGGTAGCCGGTGTCGTTCCGTAGCAGCGTAGCAAGCAGCATGCGTGTGTTTTTGCTGCCTTGGCGGTTCCTATATCCTCCCCCGGCCTATTGTAGCAGTGGGTTCACCAGGGACAGGATGCAGAGAGATCACCGGTGTGTAGGTTAGCGACGCATGAAGCTGCTGGAGTTGAAGCTTTGATGAATTTTGTTGTAGCGCATGTCTCCCGCTAGGGCCGTCCCTGTAAAGCGCTTCACTCCGCAGTGGCAGGAGCCCAAGAGTTTTGAAGCAAGCGAGAACAGGAGTCAGACCTCTCTCTCTCTCTGTCTCTCTCGTCTGATTGTCCCTCCCCGTTTTGCACACGACATTGCATGAATTTCGAGTGTGGTGGAGCTTACTCATGGACCCGTTCATTTTGAAGAGGAGGCGCTGGGAAGTCCCCTGCCAGTTCCGAAAAGAGTCATTGTGCTTTGACATTGGGACGTGCTCCTTCCGTCGGATGTTGACCCAGAAATGCAGGGTCGTTTTGGAAGGGGCAAGTCTCGTGTTCCACTCCCTTGCACCAAGCTGAGGTTTCAAGCGCAGTCAACGACGATCTCAACCCTCAAGGCTGGACCAGATTACCGTTGTAATTCAACAGTAAAAATAGACAAACACACATGTACACAGATACTATAATACTGCTTGTTACTGGTAAATACGAGTATAGATGGGTGGTAGACAAGTATACATGAGCCTGGCATACCACCTGCATAGTTACATACAAACGATCGCTGTTGCATGAATGATTGGTCCCCTCGAGACTGCATCAAGGCTCGTCGAAAATTGTGCCGGAACCACGAGGTATCAGCATCTTGGGTGCAGGGATGGGTTTGAGTAATGAAATTTCAACAAGCTCTGAAGCCTCCAAGAGCTCTCGACACGAGGAGATGACTTTTAAGTTTCGGAAAACATGTTTTACTTGTAGCAGTTGTCACACTGTTAAGTAGATTTGTTCCAACAGGCTTATGGAAGTTAGGGTAATTGCAGATTACTGATTACTCATGTTTCATCCAGTATGAAGATCAGCTCGTTTTGTACA